GACAGTCCACACCGATGATTAACTGGCTATAAACTTGGGTATAATGGGAGACTTTCACAGTGCCTCATTCATTTGCTTTTAAGTTTTAGTAGAAATTGACTTCTGGTGCTGGGAGAAAAGACCGGCCCTCTTTAATAACCAGGAAATTATGTGCATAGATATGAATAATTCCAGCTTTTAGCTCTGTGTTGCTTTGCAGAAAAATTTAAGGAGTCAAAGGCTGTTTTTCCTATTAGACACTATATACTATACTAGACTACACTATACTATGCTACACTACACTACACCACAAAGTATTATACTATACTATATTACGCTACACTATACTATACCGTGCTGTACCATACAATGCTAGGAGAATGTACGGCAAACTCTTACCCTGGGTCAACCATTAAATGGTTTTATACTATATATTTATTTGCAATAAAGTGCTCTTCTAACAACGGAGAAGAAAGAGGAAAAGGGGATGTTTAATAATTAACAGTGGCTGAGAGCGATATGAGTTTAGTTAATGTGCCTGGAAGCTCTGGCTTAGAGAGGGGCTGCTATTTCTCCAACATCAGAGCACAAACCAGCCACTGGAAGAAAACCCAGATGAGTGTTTACCTGATCCGAGGGGGCAGCACGCTCCCTCCCCCCTGCTGGCCCCTCCAGCTCCCTCATTTTAAGAATAGCTGCTCTCAGAGTCAGGCCAGGCTGTAACATTTCTTGGATCGGCTCCAGTCTCCATTCAGCTAGCAGATGGATGCTGTCATGGTGCCACCTTGTAATCTCAGTTCGGTACTCACAGGGAGATTATTAGCTGACAAGCCTGACCAGGCCCTCTTAACCTGTTAATTCCAGTCATCCTGCTGTTGACTAACCTCTGAAGACAGATTGCCAGCAAATTATTTAACAGCCCGTCTCCTTCTCAGTCCCCCTGCTTTGGTCCGAGCACCTCTCCCTTCAACGCGCAGTCACTCTGGGCCTTGAGCTGGAGATGTGAATGCACAGCTGGACTCCTGCAGGAGGTATAGAGGAGTACCACCCAGTCTGCTCTCCCCCTTGTCAAAATGGAGTGTCCCTGTCAGTCTCACCAGCTGCCGCACCAGAAGGGAGGCCCCCTCAGGGTTATGCTGCTCGAGGTGCCTGTGTTTGCCTTTAATCGGATTATGAACATGCATTCTGCTGGAGCTCCGAAATTCCCGGGATCCAGCTCAACTGCAACCTTGCTGTGCTCCGGAAAACACGTTCTGTGTAAACCTCATTTTCACAGTGTCTTAAATGGTCAACATTAATGCTACACAATCTTGTAACTGCTTATCCTGGTTAGGGTTGCAGGGCTAATAATTACAGCAACTACTAAAGGTGGATTCCAAACTAATGTGATCGCTCAATCTGTTATTCCTAGTGTTCAATGAATCTAAATCAAATGGTGCTTAAAATCTGTTCCGTTTCCTGCCGTGTTCATCACAGCTGATCATTGGCAGTTTTGTCATGATTTAGATTTCCTGACACCTCAGGATTCACAGCAAACTGACAGTCTGACTAGGGTAAGAATACCCTTTTTTTGTGAATATCACAACATAAGTTTTAATCTTAAGAACTTTATCATAATGATTTGGGACAGGCAATTACGTACACAGGGGTCACTCAGTGGAAGGCAGGTGTTCCTTGGCTGCAGGTATTGATTTAGATTTTTTTTCCCAGAGTTCCAGTGCAGATCACAATATTAATGCCTCTATATAACTTTTTACTGGAAAAACAAGCAGCCAGATGAAAGGTGCTGAAAGTGATAATTTCCTACAGATGAGTTTGTAATCCTCCAACAAACAAAATAAACTATATATAATTTTGGTGATGTGTCCCTTTAGATAAAACAGAGAATTTTGAACAAGACATACATGTCATGAAAGATTTCTGTCCAGAACTTTTTCATCCATAGAAATATAGATTGGGTACATGGTAATTAAGTATACTCTATGTGAAGCTGCTTATACATTTCATGATGTGTGTGCGTGTGTGTGTGTGAGTGTGAGCATGTGTCTGTGTGCCCTGCAATAGACTGGCCATCCCTGCCTGGGATATCCAGGCCCCCCCCACCCTTTACCAAATACGCAGCTATGGAACGGTGGATGGACATGGGGATGGATTAATTATTAGGTATAATCTGTCAGAAGGGGCACTAAGGAAGATGTGCAACATATTTCTGATGGACCGCAAACCCCTTTTGTTCTCTTATTTTATTTCTGGAAAATTCTGGGCACCCACAAACATTTGATGCCATTCCTGCAGAGCGGAGTTCTGAAGCTGCCGACTGGCCTCGGCCTGCCTCCGGAGAAGCACTCTCCCGGATGGAGATACACGGACGCTACGTGCTAACGTCGGCTGAGCCACGAATCGTCGCCGTAATGAAGACACCCGTCCAAGCAGAGGGAATGGATCTGGATGTCTTATGGAGACTGCGAGCCGTGTTCGGGATCTCAGGAACATGGCAGGCCTCCCTATCGCCTAACTTTTCTGGGAAGCTGACGTACCGTCCCCAGCGTCTCGGCTTTGGAGGAGCTGTCTCTGCCTCTCTCCCCTCTCCATCTCACTCCCGGTCTTCTTGTTTCTCCTGATTTGTCAAGCATCTTCTGGGCTCGCTCCCCCTGCTGTCACTTTTAGTACAGATGGTTAAGCCCTATGGAGCAGCCTGTCACTCCCGATTTCCTCTCCCCCGTCTGACAGCAGGCCTGATCGCTCGCGAAAGGCCCGATTCCGATAGCACATGGACCCTGACATTTCCCAAAGGGCCCTGCAGACGCCTTCCACTGGACCAGAGGAAAGAAATGAAGAACCTGAAGTCGACCCAGAGCAAGCTAGAGGCTAGGAGAGAGAGGGGGTAATGGAGAGCGACCGGGGCAGAAGCAGAGGGGGCTGGTGAGGCAGGCAGGACCGTTGTATAAGACACGCATCAGTCACCGCCCCTGGTTCTGATCTCACAGCTTATGTCTGTAACATATCCATCTCCTCAGCACCAATGCGCTAATCACATCCCTGGGAGGCTGTGAGGTCCTATGCCAAGCTGGACCGGGCTGTATTGTCCATCCGAGTGGAACAGGAAGCCTGACATACCTGCATAGAACGTTATACGCTCTGGCGCCATGTGGACCAAACCCAACTGGTGATATCATCCTCCAGCTCCATGCCCTCTGCACTAACCAACAGGGGAAGATGTAATTTGGGCAGCATTCAGTGGATCAAGCAAATTATAGATAAGGGATTGTGTAGATTAATAACATTTTTCGTTTAGAAATGTATATAAAGAAAATGAATCCAATCATTATCAGTCCACCCATGCTCCCATCTTCTAAGTGCTTTTCCAAGTGAGGGTTCCACTAATTTAACCATTAAAAACTAAAATAAAAATAGTAAATATAACTTCCCGCCCAAAAAACATCTCTGTAGAATGCAGTTGTAACCTATTCGCATTCTAGGGCACAGAGGTCATTTTAAAAAGGCATAATGCTTCACGTTAAACCTTAACTTAGCAGCTCAACAAGATCCAGAATTCGCCTGGTTGATGGTTTAACTACAGTGACTTGGTATAATGTTACTTTAAGTTAAACTTTCGATTGCACAGAAAACTAACCACGACCCAAACATGAGAAACTCACTTGTGCGCCTGCTTGTTCTGCAGCCCCCGGAGCGACGTCGTAGCTGCGAGTCTGGCTTGCGAAATGCTCAAGTACGACGGTCTGACCAGCAAACTGATCAGCGTTCAGCTCTTCCACAGGTTACACACAGACATATATTTCTTTCCTCTGTGCAATCTTGCCCTCGCTTTATCTTCGCATTATCTTCATCTTTAATTCATTATGCTATTATCTGGATGCCGTCAAGGGATTGTATTCATTCTTGAAACTTCCGATTGTCATCTAAACTCATCAGGTATCATTCCTGGTTTCTTTTTTCTTTTCCGTCAATCCATATATGCCTTCAGTGAGCTTGCTTTCCACAACTCAAGGGGATTGTCACTCTACCGGGAATCGCGATTAGCGTACATGGAAGGCAACACAAAAAGGCAGTCCTTTTTAATTAATTTATCAAGGTACATTGGGAAAAATTCTAATAGGACACACTCCGGGCTTGTTCTATTGAAGGATGGAGTGGCTGCACTACGGTGTAAAATATGCATGAGTGAACTGACATGAGCAAAACCTCATCACAAGTTCTCTTGAGAAACTGTTAACCGGCCCACTGCTGTTTCAATGCATATTGATATATTCGTGTCTCCTTACATTGTATTTCATGCAAAGAAGAATCAGTGCAGTGCTCTTTTCAAAAAGCGTCAGGTACAATAAAGTGACAGTTTGATCCTGGAGTTAAAAGCTTCATTTTATATACGAGTCACGTTTGATAAATTAAAAGACGAGATTTCACCTGTTATATTATATATGATATATTTTATAACACATATATGGTTAGTTTATCAGAGTGATGGACTGGCTTCATCAAGGGCACAAAGAAACGCGTTAGAGGATAAAATCTGCCAAAAAGAAACTGGCTTCATGCGTTCCGTTTAACGCAGTTAATACTACACCAACGTCCAATTTAAGGTTCCACACAGGTGCAGTGTGAAGATAGATAATATTGCCCTAATAATGGCCAAAAAAGTTTATTACGCTACCCCGAAAACTGCTTAGTTGCGTAGACGCGCTCTATAGCTTCGGACAATTCATCTCGTGTTTTTGAAGCATCAAGTTAAATGCTTACAATTACAGCGGCGGGAGCAGAAATTGTGAAATAAATATGTGTGCTTTGTAATGTAATGCACCATAAGGTTGGGAAAAAATGACTGAAAACCGGTGATTCCCTAGACAAAGAGCACCTTACGCCGTTCGTGGGTCTAACCCCTCCGGTTTTAATGGGGAGACAGTCATAGCCAGTAGTCAGGAAGTCGTTACCGTGCCCTAGCTGCGAGGTAAAAACACATGTGACAGTCCCATATAGGGAGGAAGGAGCAGCAGTATTGTAGTGCCCCTAGGCGTAGCTCCAAGTCAATATATACCCCGCACAAGCTGCGGCTCCCTCTCACTTGAGCCGAGTGCGCGCTGTCCGCCCAGCACCCACCTGCACGCCGCACACAGACAGAGGCGCGCTTGCTCAGGTAAGAGTAGCTCCCCACACCAACTGCTCCTGAACGGTGAAACTACTGAAACATCTTACCGAGACCTCGTTTTGTCATCTTTCATCGTTTCATTGATTTATCTCTGTCGCGATTGCTATTTTCTCCTATAAACATATTTTTAGGCTGTTACTTTATTTTCGTTATTCTGTTCTCGAATTTTGTTGTTTGTTTTAAATACACATATATATGTATTTAAATACACATATGTGAACATAATCTGCACTAGATTTTAAAGATAATCTTCAATAGTATGAAATTCTTTAAATGCATGGGCGTAGTTATTAGTGGCAAAATCTTCGAATGAAAAGTGTCGTTCAGATGTATTGCGTAATTTGCATGTCGTTTACCAGATCATTAAATTCAGTTTAAATTCATTGGTTGTTCTTATTATTATGTGAAATTGAAAAAGTGCCAGAAATGCTGTAAATATGTAGAACTTTGTCAGAGTAATTCAGTGTTTTCGTTTTTTGCCTAGCGACGATGGCATGAAGTGATGGTGAAAAATTATTTAAATGTATTTCTGGTCCATTAGTCTATTGCTAATAATAAGTACATGAGTATTGTTTGAGCAATTATCTTATTATTTATGTTACGTAAATTATACTGCATATTGCAGCTGAACTGTATTTCGTATGTATCTGTGCAGCGTAAATATACTAAACGTTTTGATCCAGCGCTGAAATATTGTATCTTAAAAATGTTTCTTTGGCGGTTTTTGCTGAACTTAAAGAAATATTTTTGTACTCGTGTGTATTTGTGCTGAAATTAAATAATACACGTGTAACTGGAGGAAGTTTTACTCTCAGTAAACTAATCGATACATCGTGGGTGAAACATTTTTGTTTTTGTTTTTGCCTAATTTTATGCTTATATTAGTAATAGCCTGTTATTTCCCTGTGTTATGATGTGTACTATTTTGTACAAGTAATGTTTCTGTACTTGAACCACAAAATAAAACTGTCACCTCGTTCAAGTCTGAATTCTAACGTTAAACATTTAAAAAATATTTTGAAAACACTTGAATGGCAGCTTAACTTTATTTTACTTGGAAAAGTAACCAGTATCTATAGCTGTTATTGAATAAACATGCAGTTAGTGTAAATGTCTTTGGTTTATTCAGCTTTTACTCTGTTTTGCAGGACTTCACGGTATCTGGACCAGCTCCAGCATCTTCCTCTTAAATAACCAGCCAGAAATAACTGGAAGGGTACGGACTTTGACAGCTGGAGACGTCCTGACCCAAATTTGAGGTAAAACCATATTCCTGACACTGATGGCCCTCAGCGCATCAATTTGTTAACGACTAGTTAAGCCATGCTACTGCACGCGGACGGGAATGGACTTTTACAGCAAATAAAATGGGGTTATCTGTTATGCTACTGGATTTTGCAGGTGAATTTGCAGAGAAAAATGCACATACGCAAATATGTATACTGTATATTTAAATGAATTAGGTCTGACTAATTTAATCTGATCTGTACAGTGTAATACAAAAAAAGGTTTACATTTCTTGATAGACTATCAGTTTTAGTATCAACATGCGTTATATGACTGTCTGAACTGGTATAAATTCAAATTAAAAGATAGGATTATTTGTGTTGTTCTACCTATTATTTCTTAAAAGTTGCAAAGGACATATATAGTTGAAACCTCAGGTTTGATGATCAGTAATTTTTATGAAGTCATCGTTCCCTCTGATCTGTTTTTGCAGTAATCCTAAGCATTTGCCACACGCAGCACCTTGGTCACAATCCATCAGTACTGATACGCTGATCAGTTTTACAGTTTATTCTACGATGCTTCCTGATGCTTTTAGCAAGGCTAATCATTTCCATTTCAGCAACTGATATTTAAGCAAAACTGATCAGAGTTATGTGCTGTAAGTTATGCACAAGGCTGCAGGGTCTGAAAACACAGGGGGAGGTGTGCAGGAGAGGAAAAGATTCAGTAGCGTGCGGTCCGGGATAGTCACTGACCAAGTATAATAAGTTAATAATGTATTATATAATAATATAATATGTTTTATTGATTGGATCCTAAAAGCAGCTGTTAGGCTCCATTTGAAAGTTCATTGTGGGTCATTGGCCGGTGGGACCTATTAACTACCTAGCCCTCCGCCTCGACCTTAGTGGTGCAGGATCATCCCATATCAGGACGGCTCTGCTCACACTACTTTGTGAACCGAATGCGCTGGAAATCTATGTTTTGCATCCAGCTCCTCAGTAATGCCTTAAAGTTTTCAGCGAATATATCAGCAGGTTCTACACAGTAAATAGGCTGTTGTAAGAGATAAAAGCAGCCATGAAATAGCTGATTCTTTATCTAGAACCTTAAATATTGTTCCAGGCTATTATCCTAGAATAAACTTGGGAAACAAAAGAAACTGAGAGCTCATGGCAAGCTCTTTTTATTCTGGGAAAAATTTTACCCTAAAGGATAGGCCTCGGGTTACGTTATTAACAGAATAAAAGGTAAGAAAAGTGTATTAAGTGTTTAAAAATTCAATGATTAGTGAATGCGTGATGCAGAAGGGCCAATTTAACAGGTTTTCAAAGTGTTTCATCACACAGCAGTCAGTCATGTGGTAGAGTGCTGTGCTGGTTACTGTGTCTGCATATTGTTCTGCCCCTGGTCGTCACAAATCCCATTTCTTCTTTTCTTGTTTACGTTTTTACAATAAAAGTTTAACCGTGAAAACACTAAGTATTTATTGGAAATCTTTGCGCTGGATGGAAAGTGTACATTGAACTTCATTTAAGCATTTGCTAGAAAACTGATCCGACACTTAATCCTGACTAGAAAACTAATCCGACACTTAATCGTCACTGGATTTAGTTATGTTATACAATGGCATAAGGTCAAAAGTGATGTTATTACTCTCAATCAATTATTTCAGAATATGGAATCATTTGATAAACATGATACAGAACAGCAGCCTAAATGATCACCTCACTGAGACAATGAGTCAATACCAACATGCTTAATAAATTTCAGTCTTATTCGTTGTTTATCTTCTTGCCTTGCAAGCAGCCGGCTTTAATACTAACCCATGCATGTGCCCGTTTTTCATATTTTTGCTCAAAGTTTGGGGTTTTGTTTAGTGTTAGAGTAAGTGGCACAATGATGGCACTGTTCCCTCCTGAGGAGGAGCTGCTAACCATGGTACTGACCGGTGCTGGCCCACTTCCTGCCGCCCGGCACTAACGATACCCCATGGGTGTGGTGCCCAGCCCTCATTAAATGACGCCATGTGCGGACCTCTTATGCCTCCCTCCTCACCCACCCAGGGTAACCCTATACCCCCTAGAGCTGGCCCTCGTACGCCGAGGTCTGACGGGGAGTGCCCACTGCACAGGTGCAGAACGCCCTAAGGGCCGACCCCTCCCCCCCCGCCCCCCCCCCCCCCCCCCCCCCCCCGCTGCTGCCCTCCGAGTGCCTGGTACACGACTGGAAATAATTAGTTCTGGCAGGTACAGTGAGAACAGGACACATAGGGCTGCCTGAAGATAGGTTAGTGGCGACTCTACTCAACCAAACAGCGCTCGTTGCACTCACAGAGACACACGCGTATACTAACAGGCTATGCTCTAACACACGCTAGTCTCTGTAGTACGCACTCATGCACTAAGCTGGACCTAATTTCTGCGGTGAAACCTAAGACTGAATATTTCTGGCTAAAAGAGAAAAAAACTCACAGTTTCACATTTTTCCGTTTGTTTTGCTAATTTCCTGAGTGATAAATTGTTTATTGTTGACCCTGCCAAGGCGGAAGCTTGGGTGCGGTCGGGAGACTTTGTTTGGCGGTGTGTCATTTTTAATGTTCAAATACTGTAAAAATACAGATGTGTGTTTGGGGGGGGGGGCAGATTTGTAACAGTTGGGTGAAGGATGTATTTTTCTGTCTGCAGCTACCACAGAAAACCACTTTCCAATCTATAGACGTGAATGAGAGCCAGTCGGAATTAGCATCCCAGCATATTTTGCTTCCCAGCATCCCGAAAATACGCATTCGCCCGGCGCCGCTTCTGCATCTCCACGGTGGTTTCTGCGCACTGCTTCAGCCATGTCAAAGGAAGATCTGACCTGCAAGATCAGCTCCGGGTGCAAACATAAGGAACGCAAACCCAAGAAACCCCATTACATCCCGCGGCCGTGGGGGAAGCCATACAACTACAAATGCTTTCAATGTCCCTTCACCTGCATGGAGAAGTCGCATCTCTACAATCACATGAAATACAGCCTCTGCAAGAACTCTCTCTCCTTGCTGATTGAGTCTGATTGGCCCTACAAGAAGGGGAACATGCTGCACCCAGACCAGCTTCGCTCACTGCAACAAGGGCCGCGCCACCGTGGAGCGGGTAGAGAGGCTCCGGAGGTGTTCTCGGGCGCCGAGGACCAATCAAAGGCGCAGCAGACAGAGGTCACTTTAGTGGACAAAGGTCTGGAAGAGATTGAAGGCCATGGTGACATGGAAACAGGGCAGAGAAAGGGAACTGAAGTAAGCGTCCCAACAAAAGAGGCTAGCGACCAAACGGACAGCTCTACCAGGGCTGCCGCGAAGAGATCCAGGCAGTCGGAAGCAGACCTTTTGATCACAGATGTTTTTCCTCTGGATGATCAGCTTCTCAAACACCGACCCGCAGAGGTCGAGACCCAGCTGAAGCAGTACAAACTGTCCAAAGGCTGTCTGTCAGGCCCCAGTCTGCTGTCTGAACAGTGGCGCTTGCTGGCTACCAGTCACAGGAAGGCGAAATCGGACAGTTCGCCACTCAGCAATGGCTCCTTACCCTGCTACCCCCCACCGCCAGCCTTTGCGGACTGCCCAGACCCGGCTGGGCTGAACCTCTCCGTCCTCGGTGTGAGTTACCCACTAAGTCCCAGCCTCTTTTCTTATGTCAACCCCACAGTTCCTGGTGCAGCCTCGACTCACAGTCAGATGGGTCAGCTCCCATTCTTAGCGTCAGCCACGCAGTTCATGCACCCGGCGTCGAGCTCACTCCCCCATGCCGACAGGCCCCTCCTCTCGCCGCGCTTCTATTACCCTCTTCTCTGCGAGCACGCATTCGGAGCGGCGCGAGTCGACGCTGTCAAGGGAGCAAAGCCAGGCCAGTCCACTCCAGCCGCACTGGATTCCGGTTCTTCTCCCGGTTTCACGCCAAAAATCAACCTGTGGAAGGTCCCTGCCCTCCGGCCCAGTCCTAGCGTGGCTCCTCCAGCTTCCTGGACGTCCCATCATCATGTGCCAGTGTCCCTAGAGGCAGGTTACAGGGTGACAGAGGAGAAAGTGCAGCCTGGGTGTAAAGACAACAAAGCGTGGGGCTTCAAGTCAACCCTTGACATGCCTCTAGTAAGAGAACATGGTAGCAAGAGGACAGGAGCCCCCATGGAGGTCCTTGAGGGCCCAGTAGAAAAGAAGACAACAGCAGGGTGTGCTCTGGATCTCCTCAAGAACATCCACATCACCCCAACGATCTCTATAGCCACTGACGGCATCCTTCATCCCAGTAGGTACGTGCTAAATGTAAACACTGTAAAAGTTTTTTTTGTTTTTTTTTATGAAATTTTAAAAATCCATATTTTATTAATTCATTTTATAGTATGTGGCTTGTTTTGATATATTATTAGCAAGTCGCATTGAGTCTAAACATATTTCTGTTTTTTTGTCATATAGTTTTCGATCTGCCATTCATCATTCAAAGTCTTTGGAAGACTGGAATACAAGTTTCAGGAAAAGTGCTTCAGAAAATCTATCGAGTGAAATGTCGCCCCCACTGAAGCCTGAGAGGGTGAGATGTCTGGACCTGGCAGAGGACAGACAGGGGGGGCAGATCTCAGAGACTGCAGCAGCGCTGCTGGCTGACTTCAGCAGGGCCCTGCAGGAATACCAGGAGGCTGAGCGCAAGGTCTCACACCTGGTGAGGGAAGACCACCCAAGCCAGCGGCCCCTCTGGGAGTACCTGTGTAAGATCCGCAGTGAGCTCTCCCACATCCACCACGCGCTGGAGAAGACCACCTGGCAGAACGAGGGACCCTTGGACCTCTCCATCAAAAAGAACTTAGGGGGGACGGCAGGTGGAGAGAACCAATGCACAGGGGAGACCATGAAGGGGGAAGTGATTGGAGAGACAGAAGAGGAGGATGAAATGGAGGATGAAGAGGAGGAGGGAGGCGAAAGAGAGGGGAAGGCAGAATTGCTGGAAAGTCAAAAGCAGGAACTAGGGGTCCTCATGAAGATGAACGCCGCAAGCCTGGCTGAAACGAGTCCCAGGGCCATGGTGAAGACGGAGGTGCTGTCCCCCGGTGCCCTGGGGCTCCGGGCCGCCCCCGTCGAGGCGCTGTGGCCCAGCCGAACCACCAAGTGCGAGGCAGACTCCAGCGTGCTGCTCTGCCCCGATGGAAGGCCCATTGTCTTCACTGACTTCACCGCTGGGGCCAAAAGTATGAAGAGGCCAGCATCTCGAGAACATCTTGGGGAGACACTGTGCCCCCCCAGCCCCCTTACATCCAACGACCTGTAAGAATGACCCTCAGAAACACTGGGCGTCCCAGCAAGAGCCAAGCAGCTTAGCGGTCCAGCCTCACAGAAATTAAAGATGAGAAGGACAGAGTAATCAGCATCAACGAATCATTTAATGACTGGATGATACTCAGTATTTCTGACTTGTAACAGTGTACCACAAGGAGACGAGCCGTGTCAGTCCCGTGATTAAATACCTGTGTATAAATGCAAAAGACAATCAATCAAAGCACGTTATCGTTTGTGATGTAACCAACTATAACAGAAACACACTTTTAATACTTTCCTGTTATATTATATGCTACCGGGCAGTAATTTTGTGTACCTTAGAGACAGTACAGTGGCATTATTTATGGATCAACACTTTTGTTCAAAAACTATGTAAAGCACTTATTATTTATTAATCATAAAAATAAAACCACAATAAAACTGAGTATGGCTAAATTAAGTTAGCAATGACTTCATCTATCACAGCTTTTCACAGAAAGTCTATTTGTTTAACTATCTTGCTTCTTTATTCAAAGTCTTCAGTCATTTTAATTAGTCTTTTTCTCAATTGCTGAAACACTTTTCATACATAAAACACACAAAAAATCTCCAACTGAAACAGCAGTTGTGGGTTTTCATCTTAAATCTTTTCTGAAGCTAAAAACTAAAATATTTCTTATACAGGATCTAATGGAGTGTTTTTTTTTAATTTTTCATGTCATTATCACAAAGGCCAGATAATAATAATAATAACTATAATAATAATACAGTACATAATACTTATACAGTAATAATAACTGTAACTACATATAGTACTGTACTGTACCTCGAACCACTGAAGCTGCACAATGTTTTCACAGACGTCACAAAGTAGTGCATGCATTAGTTATGAACCATTTATTTAACTCAAATTTTTTATGTAATAGGCTTTTTGGCAGTCCATTCATATGTATGAGTTGTCTGTAAGTCAGGCGTTCTCAACCCGGGGACGGCCTGTATTACTGTATATTATATAACATCATATATTACTGTTTACAGATAGAAAATAATACAGCCTTACTGTAACTTAAGCAAACATATGGAAAGCTTGAGAAGCAATATGATAAAAACATGGAAACAGGGGGGTCGTTAGGCTTTAGCCCCCCTAAAATGTTTTTTAACCCCCTCCCCCCCAAAAAAAATGTGTATTTATTGCCCAGTAAAGACTCAGCCCTCTTATCCATTCATCTCTAACTACACCCCAGCTGGAAAATGTAAATAACATAAATGGAATCCAAATGGAATCCAAACAATAAGCCAAATAAACCAATCTAACTAAAATATACATCTAACTGAATCCTCTGTGGCTGTCACACCAGGTCCACCCATCCATCCATCAAACGGCATATCCGATACAGGGTTGCTGGGTATTTAAGCCTGAGAGTAGTGCCTCCTTGTGGACACTTTTGTACATCGGCCTCCATCAGGCATTGGTGTCCGTAATGAAAATGACCATTCAGACTGTCAGCATAAGACAGCGGAGCACCATAACAGAGATTCGTTACGTCTTCAGTCGAGACGGCGGATCAGAGTTGCCTGCCCATGTTTACTGTCCCTTGGGCGGTGGCTGATGAGCCCGGGGGGCCGATGGCTGGGTGGGGGCATCTTAATGCACCATGGCATGGCATTTAGAGCGGCGTTGCATCAGGGTGACAGAACAGACCGGCCACGGCTAAACCTGCTCCCTGAGCAAAGAGCGCCTGCAGCCGGATGGCCAGGTCCGGGGCTGGCGGCCTCCTAAACGGGGTCCGGGCCGAGCCCCGTCAGGCCCAGTGCGGGCTACTGTCACCGCCAGCCAGCCGCTACCTGCTCCCCGATGCCGGGCCTCCCAAGCAAAGCTCATTGTGCACAGAAAGGAAATGTCGGCGACTTTGTATTACACTGCATCACCGGCATCACGGCACGGTTATTTCACTGCATCACCGGCATCACGGCTCGGTTATTTCACTGCATCA